GGGCACTCTCCCTCGGCGCTCCAGGGCCCAGCCACTGCTGTGGACGACATGCCCCAGGGACGGGCCAGACCCATCCAGAGGTCTAGGGGAAAAAACGCCGCTGCCCTGGCATTGCCTTGGCTGTCAGACCCCAGCCAGCAGCACCCAGAGGTCAGTGTCACGGCTGAGTGTTGGGTGCCCCATGGCTGTGCTGGTCTGGGCTCCGTCTTCTTCCCCCTGTGTGGAGTCATCTCCCACCCAGCCTGGAGATGATCTGAGCCCAGTCACCAACGCAAGACTCAGGTACAAATTTATCTTTATTCAGTGCCAGACAAGAACCCTCCAGGCTGGAGGTAGCTTCATGGATCCCTTTGGCTTGTAGCTTTCAGGTTTCAGACCCTTTCACCCCACGCCGAGATGCCCTTTCCCCCTCTGCCTCCTCTGCTGCCAGCAGCTCCCCAGGGCCGGAGGAGGAGGAGATGGTTGTACACGGCAGAGCAGCCCCTCGCCTCACTCTGCCCCTTGGCACCCCAGTTGCTCCCTCCTGCTCACGCACCGACCTGCAGATGCGAAGCTGTCGGGCTGGTAGCCCGGCTTGTCGTCCTGCTTGCGGTAGTACATCCGCGTCACCACTGCCAAGATGAAGGTTTGCGGGATCAACAGCTGCATGTTCATCTCTGGAAGAGGAGAAGCGTCATTTGAAGCTGCCTTCACCCACCATCCACATTCCCTATGCCCCGCCGTGTGATGGAGGGGCTTGGCCGGGAGCACGCAACGCCGCTCCCCCATCTCCCGACTTACGCTGTGACCTGGCTTTGGAGGAGAAGGGCGGCGAGCAGGCGATGTTGCCATTGTTGGCCAGGATGCTGAAGATGGCGGGCTGCAGTGCCGTCAGGAGAAGGAGGATCTGCAACCACCAACACCCAAGGCGGTGGGGGCTGCGCCACTGCCAGACTGCTGCCCTTCGCCTTCCCCGCTCTCCCGCAGCCGGACCTGGCTCTCGCCTGCCAGCAGCTCCTGCCTTGCTATCTCCCCCCGCGCCTCCTCATCCCGTTCATGCCGGAGGAGCCCCTCACCTAGGGGCAGGACGGGTGCTCACCTGGAAGCAGGAGAACTTGGCCTTGATGTTCTGCTCGGCCAGGTGCAGCCGGGCCTGCCGGAAGAGGATGCCCAGGGCCCACAGCCCGAAGAGGGTGGAGGCGCCGACCACGGTGTTGATCCAGAGGGCCGTGCTCTCCGCTGAGATCTGGGGGGACGCACAGAAAACTCACCTGGGCTGACAAAGCTGCTGGGCAAGGCGAGGGCTGGTGGAGGCTCCCCGTCCGGGACATCGCCCTGCCCGTCCCTGTGCCCTGGCACTCACGTCAGCAGGGTTGTAGTTCCCGTCGGCGGCCAGGACGAGCCCCAGGAAGACAGCAACCACCCTGCAGAAGGCGTACTGGAAAGTCCCCAGCATCAGCAGTTGAAGCTTTCTCCTGGCACAGCAAGAGAGACTGGTAGCACCTTGAGGTCCCCGAGCCCTTGCCCAGGAACTTCTTTTGCACCCCAACAGAAGGAGGGGATGAAAGCCCTCCCCAGGGGCAGGGGGTTACCTGGCTCTCCCTCACCTGCTCATGGTGATTCGGGGCAGGCAGGGGCAGCAGCAGCAGCAGGGCCCGGTGCTGACAACCATGGGCACGTCCTTCAGGGTGCTGAGCACCGCCTCCTTCCCCCCGAAGCCCTCCACCATGACCAGCATCATGAGGTACAAACAGATGGCGAAGTACCTGGCGGGGGAGGAGGAGGAGGAGGAATACAAGTGAGGCCCCGTGGGCTCCCCAGTGCCCCTGCCCTGGGGTAGGCGATACTCACGTCGTGGTAGCCATCTCCACCACCATCATTGAGCGCGGGATCCACAGCCCAAAGCAGCTGACCACGGATACAACCTGGGGGAGAGGCCAGCTTAGCACATTGCCACTCCCCCCTCCTATGGGCTGGCACCCCATGGGTGGCCCTGGCCCCCCGGGGTGATGCCCACCACCACCACCACACCCCAGCTCACCGTAGGGGCTGAGCTGCTCCAGCGGAGGGTCTTCATCTTGATGGGGCAGCGGATC